AGTGTGAGTTATTGCTCGTCTGGTAACAGAGCTGAGAGCATTAACAAAAAAAAAAAAAATCTGTTTCCCTTGGGGATTTTATCTGGCCATCATTCAGATATTTAAAACCACTCACGCATAGATTTTTGCCTGCCTCCTTCGAGGAGGGTATCCACGTTCCCTTTGGCCCTGGGGACCTGAACCTGAATCCTGGCCCAGAGCAAAGGCTTCGCTTGCCTGGTGCCCTGCGTCCAACAGCGGCCAGGAGCGGATGCTCGGGGGCTGTAAATAACCCATCAGAGCAAGTGCAGGCTCCATCCCCTCGCATGCCCCTGCAGCAGCAATGGGTGAGCATGAAGGGTCTTGAGCCCAACGTGCCAGGGATCAGAAGATGAACAGAGTTTGTTGAGACGCTATTTTACATCCAGCTAATTAATCCATCTAGTTTCCTTTGTTTGGTTTGGGTTGGTACCAAGCCCAGACCCAGAGCTTTACTTGCCCCTCCTGCTGGCCCAGCAGCCTGCGTCCCTCTGCTCCCACTGGGGAGAAGGAGCCCCCTGTTCCGGCAGCAGCTCCGGGTACCAGAGCTGATATTTGATCTCAGATTAGTCATCCAGTTCGCAGAAGGCAGATCTTGAATATATGCTCTCTGCTCTGAAGCCATCTGTCATCACTTGCTTTCAAATCCCCTCTGAGCACGTCCGCGGAAGGAAGATGACTTACCTGCGGCTGGGAGAGCTGACTGGGAAAGCCGGTACCGGGTGTGCTGCGAGGGTGAACCCGCGCGCTGGCATGTTCCAGCAGCTGCGGCAGGGTTTTGGGGACCGCTGGCACTCAGAGGGCCAGCATCTCCAAGCTGGGGTGGGGAAATAGTCTGCCCTGGCACAACCTGGAAGCACCAGCAAAGCTGGCTGGGGCGTTGCTTCCCCGAGGCTTCCCACGAGCGTCAGTCCTGGGGGTCGGTGGGGTTAAACGAGCGGAGTAGGAGGGCGTCAATCAAGAGCATCGCTGCGCCTTCCCTGCAATGGCGGGGGGGACTGTCACCCCACGGTTGGCACCGACAGGTTGTGATGGCAGAGGGGTGTTAATCACCAGCAATGTCTTCAAGGACATCCAGCTCTGGGTGTTTTGAAGGGGATTCGGAGGGGGGCAGGTGGCTGTGAGCTGTGTCCGAGCGTGCCTCCGGGGAAGGAGAGGTTTCGGTTCACACCAGTTTGGGTAAGGAGCCTTTCTGTTGGAGAGCCAACCGGCAGCTTTCGCTCCCCGACCTGCTCCAGGACCGGTCTCGTTGACGCCTGCCGTCTCGCCCGGGCGTGCTGCCAGCTGCCAGCTCCCACGCGCAGGCAGCTCTCTGAAGGTCACGCTCGCTGCCAGCAGATGTGCCCTGGGTGGGCAGGACATCTCCACGGCTCCTGTACCAAGCTGGGAAAATAGGCTGCCGGGAAACACTAAGGCTCCGCAGTCCCCTCGATCGC